TGAAAAAGGTACCAGGGGCATCTCATGGGGCCCCCTACTGACCCCGGGCCCTCCGGCAGTGCCCGAGTTTCCAAATGGTCAGTCCGCCCCTGCATCCTGCAGAACGCATTAAATTCATGAACCAAGGTACGCCTGTATTTGAAGAAGGTAATTCAAAGATCCTGAGCATTTGGAGACAATTAGTATCTTTTGAGCACTGGAAAGATGATGGGGTTGTTTCCAGGCCGGGGCCAATTCTGAGAGCATGTCCGCCTTGTACAAGTCGCCATGTGTTCACATCAATGAATGGCAGTTAATGGTCACATTAGGATCAGAAATAATAATAAATCCCTTTATAATACTTTATCTGACAGGGACCTTTCCATTCACATGCAGCTGTCTGTCCTCCAGAGAGGCTTCACCACCCTCATAGATTTTTCACGCTCTGCCCGCTCCATATGTGTAATGGAGAAGAATCGACCAGTTATAATCCTAGTTTGGATTCCGGCCATGACCAATAATTCCCCTGTATTTGCTGATAGGACTTGGCATAGATAAGCGAGCATAGGGTGGGGGTGTGGTGCAGACAGTCAGAATTACCCTCTGAATGGGAACTTAAGTCTCATTGGGAAAGAAATGTTCCCATTATGCTGGCTAGTAATATACGATGATCACAGCTGTAGGTGGCCAGATATTCGAAGTGGAGATCTGTGCAGATTATCCCACATGTATATCAGTGTTGGAGTCACATATGCACTGCCTCATCCAGCCATCATTCCACTGAGAAGAGCAACCAGGGACCTGCTAAAATTCTCAGCTGCAATAAAAGCTTGGTCTGATAGGCTCAGAAAGCATTTTATATGGCTTCTGGATGGGAGTGTAGTCTCTGGTCACATGCTGGTACCCTCTATGGCAGGGTTTCTTGAAGAGGGTCCATGGATCTCTAGGGTTCCTCAAGAGGTTGCTAGGGATTCCTTGGGCAAAGAACAATTTCCACCTCTCCAATAAGTTACCACTGACACCACTGATGACCTTTTTTTTCTATCTGTAAGGGCGAAATCAGGGCCAGATCAAGGGGGGTGCTGGGGTGGGCTATGCGCCCCAAGTCTCTGAAAGTGCACACACTGATCCATAAGCCAGTCTGAACTAAACAGTTGATGTAAGGACGCACTCTGATGGGGACAATCCATTTAAGGGGGCACTCTGAAGGGGACACCTGATGTAAAGCGGCACTCTGATTAGGACACCTGATGTAAGGGGGGGCTCTCTAATGAGGATCTATTTATATGTAAGGGGAAACTTCGATGCAGTGGTGTATTTAGGTTTTGTGCCGCCCTAGGCAACACAAAAATTGGCTCCCCCATTGACCAACAACACCCCAGTACCCCACCTGAGAGAGTCTTCCACTACCATCGCCCCCCATACACTGGCAACCTCCCCTCCCGACAAGAGATAAGACATTCATCTTCACAGCTCCGGACATCCCCGGGAACAAGAGTCAGGCTCTGCATACACCATCAAGCAGCCTGCAGCCTCTCTCAGATCCCACCTGGTCCCCGTGCTGCGTGTGTCCCTTCTTTCTTTCCTTCTTTCAGGGGACGGTGCTGCCCCCCTGAAAAATGCTGCTGCCCCTCTGAAAAATGTCACCCTAGGCAAATGCCTTGTTTGCCTTGTGGTAAATACACCCTTGCTTCGATGGGGACACCTGATGGAAGGGGGCACTCTGATGCGGACACCTGATGGAAGGAAGAACTCTGATGGGGATAACTGATCATGTGTAAGGGGGCACTCTGTTGCGGACAATTGATGTAAGGGAACACTCTGATGGGGCCCTTAATGTAGGGGGGTATTCTGATGAGGACACCTAATGTAAAGGGGCACTGTGATGGGAACCCTGATGTAAGGGGGCAATCTAATGTGCGACCCGATATAAAGGGGGCTCTGATGAGGACTCCTGATAGGAACATCTGATATAAGGGGGCACATGCTTTGTTTGATCATTCTAACCTAATGACAGCCTAATACATACTAGTGTTTCCCAGGTCGTGATACAGTGTGACTGTCAGTGACTCACACAACGTTGGCATTATGCCCCCTTACTTTTTTTACTGCACCCCCAGATTAGGTAGGCTAGATCCCCGTGGGGGGAAATTCTTCCCAATCATAAGTTGTAGATATAGTATTTTTAGCAGGGGTTCACTGGGACCAGATCATTTTTTCAAGGGTTCCTCTGTGTTGAAAAGATTGAGAAAGGCTGCTATGGCATGGACTACAGAGAGTGGTGTCAGAAATACTTTGCAGGCATTTTTGCTTGCCCCAACTGTCCCTAATCCCAGAAAACTGTCCTGATATCTGAACGAAAATCTGCAGTCCTGCAGGTCCAGAACATGTCCTGCAAATACAGTGAATGAGTACTCCAGGACAAGCTGACTGCTGTAAACATGAATGGGCACCTGTCTGGTCAAACTGTTTTCTTTAAAAGTTAATGGGTTCTGCCAGGCCAAGCTGTCCATCATATAAGTGCATGGGTTTTATGTTGGGAATGCAACAGCATGTACTATAATGTACTATATACAGTATTCTGTGGTAATATCACTTGACCAGTAGATGGCACTGTACACTAAAGGTTACTAGTTGTGTATATCTGAAAACTTGTTTGTTCCTCCCCCTCTCTATCATCTCTTCAGGAAGTAATGAGTCTGTAATACAGTCTGCTGAAATGTGCTCTATATGTTTGTAACTTAAGCCACACAAGTAAAGCCTGAATTCTGCTATCACTACCAGTGTCTTCTATAACACATAACCAACATTTTATAGGGTCAAACTATCCTACATATACTGTGTATGGACAGGTGCTGCTGGGCCAAGCTGTTCACCATTGAAGTCAATGTATGCTGGCCTTGAAAACATTTCACTACAAAAGCAAATGGGTGCTTTAGGGTCAAACTATTTGCCATAGAAGTAAATGGGTGCTGCTGGGTTAAGCTATCCACCTTGGAAAAGAATGGGTACTGCCTGGCCAAGCTGTCCCATGTAGAAGTGAACAGGTGCCAAAGATCAAACTGTCTAAGGGTTACTGCACTTGCCTCCCACCGATGCTGAGACATTAACTCCTTCCAGTGAGAATGGGGTATGCCTCTTAACGCCATGGCCAACACCCCTTTCCGCATAGCCTCATCTTTATGTCAAGGTCCCTCAAGTTCTAAAGTTGGGAGGTGTGCATTCACTTGGCTATGGTGATGGTGTTCCCAGAATTCCAGATTACTGAACCATGAGATTTTCAGCAGTCTGATACATGACTATAGCCCAGTGAGGAGCACCAGCAGAGTACACTCAGATGTCCTTTAATATAAATGTTAACAGTGTACAAACACTTTTACAATTATTTGTTTTAATCTTATTTCTCTTTGTCGCCGTGTAATACTTTTCCATTGTTCGGATTGGCCGCGTGTTGGTGCGCTTCCCTCTTCTCTGGGGATGTAAAATAAGAATCTGTTTCCATGACATTGAGGAAACGCGGCGTCCTCAACGACATTCTATTTCAAGTCAGACAGAGATCACGGCGGAAGCTGCAGGCAGCCACGGCCTATCGATCTAAATTTAGCTCCACATGTGGGAAAGAGCTTCCTGCCCATTAAAGCAAATGAAATGCCCTATAAGCAGCAATGTGCACCCTGGGAAATCTGAGACCGCAAGGCCACCACATTGTGGGAACACTTGATAGTGCCATCTCCCACCTGCTGGAAAGAGAGCGATACAAGACATGGAGGAATTCCCACTAACTGTCCTACAAACCTTCCCACTAACCCTTGCCCAAACATTACTACCAACTCCTCCACTAACCCGTCTATTAACCCTCCCACTAACTTGTCCTCCAACCTCCCCACCAGCTCTCCAACTATCCATTCCGCTCCCATTAGCCTTCTCACTAACCCTTCCACTAAAGCTTCCAGTGACCTCCTTGCTTCTACTAACCCTCCCTCTTCTAACTCTCCTACCAAGCCTTCCACTAACCCTCCTATCAACCCTCCCACTAATACTCCAACCGTCCCTCTCACTAAGAGTTCAACTAAGCTTTCCACTAATCTTCCTACTAAATCTCCCACCAACCCCCCTACTAACCCTCCTACCAACCCTGCCACTAACCTTCTCACCAACCCTTCTACTGACCTTTGCCACAGCTTATCCATTAACCCCTCTACCAACCCTCCCACTAACCATTCCACCAACCTTCCAACTAACCCTCCTATCAACCCTTCAACCAATTATTTCACTAACCCTCCCCTCCACCATCTCTCCCACCAACCTTCTTCTGAACTGTCCTGCCAACCCTCCCACTAACCTTCCCACTAACCCTCCCACTATCAGATTTTCATTTAGCTGTCATCCTCTGTGCCCCATCCTAATTCATTATTCCGACCCTGGTACAATACCCTGTATTGTCCTATTTTGTAGAGTGGCTGTACAGGTGATTTATGTAGGGACAATACTATACATGCACCCCATGTTCATGTCCACCTCCCAAGGTCATGTTTGTTCCCCAGCTGTTTCCAACCTCTGTTTACCCAACTTTATCCAATGAGATATACAGGAGGTAATCATCACCGCCTGCTCTTTAGCATTAAAGTGGTTGTAAACCCCTGCCTATACCCAGTAAAGTGACTGACCTAAGGTGATACACAGAGATGAAACAAATCCTCCTACATAAGTTGTACCTGTTTGTCTACAGCCAACTATCCACTACATCCATTCAAAGTGCAGAATTTATACCAGATCTCTCAGCTCTGAAAAGCAGGGGGTGAGGAGCTGAACTTATATCAGAAAAGAGAGCTCTGACAGCTGATTGGAGGGAAGAGACACCCCCCCCTTCACACAGCACACAGGAACAGAGCTGAGGGTGTCAATCTGCCAGAGGTCCCTCCCCTATCCCCATTTTTCTCTTGGTGCCAGGAAAACTTGCCACAAGCGACTCATGCAGAGGAGTGAAGCAACAGACAGAAACAAGAGCGGACTGACAACTCATGGGGCCCCCGGGCAATAGGGGATCATGGGGCCCCTGTGTCCTTGCCCAAACTCAAAAAAGCCTATGAAAAAGGTACCAGGGGCATCTCATGGGGCCCCCTACTGACCCTGGGCCCTCGGACAGTGCCCGAGTTTCCAAATGGTCAGTCCGCCCCGGACAGAAATAACACTTAGCACTCTGAATTGAGACAGCTACACACTATAGAAGGACATGCTTTGTTCGTATTTCACGTCTGAGGTTTATAACCACTTTAAATTTTATTTGACATTCAAGAGTCCAAATTTCCAGCTGAGATTTATTCTACATAATTTTATGCCATCCAGAAAAAAATGTAACAATACTCTTTGCACCCTAAATTAGATTATTAGTTAGATGAAAATCTCCCCCCACCACCTCCTGTATCTCTGGGGCCCCTACATAGGATGATGACCCACTCTTTACTGCTCCCTCCAGGATTTCTCTGATGCAAATTAATTGACTGTCCTCTAATCGACAAGGATTTTATGGTTCACTGAAATGATCTGCCCCATATATAGTTAGGTCCATATATATTTGGACACAGGCACAATTTTAGTTTTATCAGGTATTTACCAAAACATATTCAAACTATAGTTATATAATGGTTATGGGCTGAAAGTTCACACTCTCAGGTTTAATTTGAGGGTATGTACATCCAAATTGGAGGAAGGGTTTAGGAATTACAGCTTTTAAGAATAGCCATCCCCCCTTTTTCAAGGGACCAAAGGTAATTGGACAATTGAATCAAACGTTTTATAATCAGGTGTGGCTTCATCTATGCATTTTCTGTAGTGTGTCTGTCAGCATTTCCCAGGTGAGTTAAAGGGTGAAAACATTTGCCTCAGTCTGTGTCCTTCAGAGATACACTATATTGCCAAAAGTATTGGGAGCCCCTCCAAATTATTGGATTCAGGTGTTCCAATCCCCTCCATGGCCACAGGTGTATAAAATCATCCCCTGGGCATGCAGACTGCTTCTACAAACATTGGTGAAAGAATGTTTCGCTCTCAGGAGCTCAGTGACTCCAAGCGTGGTCCCGTGATAGGTTGTCACCTGTGCAATAAATCCATCTGTGACATTTCCTGGCTACTAAATATTCCACGCTCAACTGTTAGTGGGATTATAACAAAGTGGAAGCAACTGGGAACAACAGCCACTCAGCCACCAAGTGGTAGGCCACGTCACATGACAGAGCGGGGTCAGCGCATGCTGAAGCGCACAGTGCGCAGAAGTCACCAACTGTCTGCAGAGTCAATAGCTAAAGACCTCCAGACTTGGTGTGGCCTTCAGATGAGCCCAACAACTGTGCGTAGAGAGCTTCATGGAATGGGTTTCCATGGCCGAGCAGCTGCATCCAAGCCTTACATCACCAAGTGCAATGCAAAGCGTCGGATGCCGTGGTGTAAAGCACGCCACCACTGGACTCTAGAGCAGTGGAGACATATTCTCTGGACTGACCAATCACACTTCTCTGTCTGGCAATCCGATGGACGTGTCTGGGTTTGGCTGTTTCCAGGGAGAATGGTACTTGCCTGACTGCATTGTGTCAAGTGGAAAGTTTGGTGGAGGGAGGATTATGGTGTGGGGTTGTTTTTCAGAGGTTGGGCTTGGCCCTCTAGTTCCAGTGAAGGGAACTTTTAAGGTGTCAGCATACCAAGACATTGTGGACAATTTCATGCTCCCAACTTTGTGGGAAGAGTTTGGGGATGGCCCCTTCCTGTTCCAACATGACTGCACACCAGTGCACAAAGCAAAGCCCATAAAGACATGGAGGAGCCAGTTTGGGGTGGAGGAACTTGACTGACCTGCACAGAGTCCTGACCTCAACCCCATAGAACACCTTTGGGATGAATTAGAGCGGAGACTGCGAGCCAGGCCTCCTCCCCCGACATCAGTGCCTGACCTGACAAATGTGCTTCTGGAAGAATGGTCCAACCTTCCCATAGACACCCTCCTAAACCTTGTGGACAGCCTTCCCAGAAGAGTTGAAGCTGTTATAGCTGCAAAGAGCGGGGCCAACTCAATATTGAACCCTACGGACTAAGACTGGGGGGCCATTAAAGTTCATGTGAGTGGAAAGGCAGGAGACCAATACTTTTGGCAATATAGTGAATATGATGGTGTATATGCAGATTCGCTTTCTTATAGTCAGAGTGATGAAAGAGGGAAAATTGGTTATTATTAGTTACTCCACATTGGTCATGTACTGAAATTAATTGATTGGCAGGTGAATTTTCAATATGACATTGAGGTGGTTTTCCTCTATCTTACCATCCTCATTAAACTGCATACTGCTGGAATCAACTGACACCGCAGATACATTATAGTGAGCCATGTGAGATATGCGGAACAAGGCCCGGCATGTCCAGTATCTACAAGTTTTAGCATGTTCCCTGCTGCCTTACCAATTTCTATAGAATTACAAGTCCCTGTATGCCCCCATTCCCTCTCACCCGATTCTATAGAACTACGAGTCCCATCAGGTCCCCATTGTGCCTCACCCATTTCTATAGAACTATAGGTCACAGCATGTTCCCATTCTCTCTCACCCATTTGTATAGAATTACGAGTCCCATCAGGTCCCCATTCTGTCTCACCCATTTCTAGCACGTCCCTTTCCTGTCTCATCTACTTTTTTTTAATATGACTACACATCCCAGCATGCTCCCCCCTTACCTATTTCTGTAGAACTACAAGTCCCAGCATGTCCCTATTCTGCCTCACCCATTTCTAGTCCAAGCATGTTCCTTTATTGTCTCACCCAGTTTTTATAGAACTACAAGTCCCAGCATGCCCCCCCCCCCCTTTCATTTCCCTCATTTCTATAGAATTACAAGTCCCAGCTCGGCCCCCTCCAGTCTCAACTCGTTTTAAAGAACTGCAAGTCCCAGCATGCAACCTCCTGTCTCCTTCATTTCTATAGGATTACAAGATGCAGCATGGTCCCCTCCTTTCCTCTCCCATGTTTATAAAACTACAAATCCCAGCATGGCTTCTCCTGCTTCACTCATTTCTACAGAACTACAAATCCAAGAGCGACTCTCTCCTGTCACCCCTGTATGTATATACTAGGCGTCCTCACTGGCTGCATGCTTGTTTCAGTTCTGTGACTTAGTAAGCAATGCAGGAAGGATGTCAGGCCTGGAGAAATGGCTGCTCCCATCCTCCTGTCCTGTGGTTTCTTTGTGAAGACAGCAGACAGCAATGAGGAGTTCAGGGTCTGGTCACGGTGAAGGGGGGGACGGTGTCAGGCAATCAGAGCCCAGCACTGCGCCTCCGTCCACTCTCAGTTTCCATGGTAACCAGCAGAATGTTTGGTTGCATGACACAAATTTCAGGTTGTGCATACCATTGATGTTGGTTGCCGTTCAGTGTCATTACCAAGCATGAGCAGCCAGAAGATCAATGGCCTATAGCCAATAAGAAACCAGCTCAGTGCCACTATGAGCAACTCAGCGCTAGTAGGGAAAAAGCTGGATTCTGATTGGTTGATGTGCTTCAAATCTTTTCTGGGCTCAGCAAGACTCAAATGCTGAGAGTGCTTTAACTCACAGCAACCGATCATAGCTCACTTTCACTAGGGATGGGATTGGGATTCAGGTCAGCCTATCTGCAGACCCATCCTACTATTGTGGTCATTTGCAGCCCCTTTGCCTGCCTGAGTTCCCGGCATTGCTATAATGTAATGTTCCCCCGCACTCCCACCACTAAATGACAGATCCCCGGTGCTGATGTAATGTAAACGCCCCCCCCGCACTCCCACCACTAAATGACAGATCCCCAGTGCTGATGTAATGTAAATGCTCCCCAGCACTCCCTCCACTAAATTACAGATCCCCGGTGCTGATGTAATTTAAACGTTCCCCCCGCACTCCCGCCACTAAATGACAGATCCCCGGTGCTGATGTAATGTAAACAGACAGCTGGGGATCCTGGGCAACTTTGTTGACTAAATATGGTCATGACCATATATGGTCAATAGTGTCACCCAGGATCCGTGGCTATTTGTTTACATCACATCAGCTCCGGAGATCTGTCATTTAGTGGCGGGAGTACGGTGGGGTACATCATTGGGCACCAAATCTTCATGATTGCTGTTGGATTTACATCACTGCACGCTGTGAGTGATGATGGACAATATTAAAGTAGGACTACACTGTATCTGAGCACCACAAACAAAGACTCCATTTCATTCATTTTTAATATTCAAAGCAAACTCCCCTATCCGTCCATGTCTCCATGCTTTATTCTGAGAAATCACAGAATAACACCCCCCCCCCCCCCCAGCAGGCCTTGGCCAACTTCAGTAAGGGCAGATGATTCATGTAGCATTTACTTCCTGGAATCCATCTGCCCTTAGCTCAGACATGCAGGCAGGAGGGTGTGCTTAGCTCAGAAAACCCATCATTTTTTCTAGGCATGGAAACTAGGAAGTAACTAAAGACGTAAAAAAATAGTTTAAAACAAGAAAATCTGATATACTTTTTTTACTGTAAAAATCCACCATCACCACCTATCTCTTCAGGGAAGCCTATCCCGCCTTCAGCTAATAACGAATCTTCTATTCCTCCTATCAGTCCATCCCCCACAGTCAGGGGCCTGTTTACCACAAGACAAACAAGGCACTTGCCTGGGGTGGCATTTTTCAGGGGGCGGCCTCCCCCTGGCAGAAGTGACACATGGGGCAATCAGTGACTTAGGATGGGGAGCAGGTGAGGCACTGCAGTGTGGTTTTTGGGCTGCTGAAAGGTGTCCAACTCTCATTCGTGGATCATTGTCAGAGGTAGGCACAGCAGTGCGGTCTGTGGGCTGCTTTGGGCTGCTGAAAGGTGTCCAACTCTAATTCGTGGATCATTGTCAGAGATAGGCACAGCAGTACGGTCTGTGGGCTGCTGAAAAGTGTCCAACTCTCATTCCTGTATCATTGTCAGAGATAGGCACAGCAGTGCGGTCTGTGGGCTGCTGAAAGGTGTCCAAATCTTGTTCGTGGATCATTGTCAGAGATAGGCACAGCAGTACGGTCTGCGGGCTGCTGAAAGGTGTCCAACTCTCATTCGTGGATCATTGTCAGAGATAGGCACAGCAGTGCGGTCTGTGGGCTGCT